AATAAAATTTATAAAAAATATAAATTTAAATTTTTTCAAAATTCTTTCCATAATTAAAAAATATAAATTTTTAAAAAATATTTTAAATTTATAAAATTAAATAATATTAAAAAACTAAAACTCTTACCAGTTTAAAAAACATGCTCTTGATTGAGTAGAGATGCTCTTATTCGTGATTTTCACGCACAACTCTTGATGGGTGAGATGGAGTGAGCCTTTATTAATCGATGGCCCTTTAGGCCTGGCCCGTCTAATTCATATACATCCTCGCCCAACCCTAACCCGGCCTATCCGGCCAACCTGTTTACAGCCCTACTCCCATACAATTTCGCACTAACAGTTTGTTTGAATAAAAATTAGTAAAAAAAAAAAAAGGGGGAAGAGAGGAGAAGGGAACAGGGGGACGAGAGGTGAAGGAAAAAAAAGAATATTAACTTTATTTGAATAAATAAATAAAAATAAAGAAGAGAAAAAAATATTTTTATTTAATTAAATAATTTTAAAAAAATAAAATAAAATATTTAAAATTTATTAATTAAAATAATAATTCAAATAAAATATTTTTATATATTTATTATTTAAAAATATTTTAAAAATATTAAGTATGTAAATCTAATCTTTTCTCGGGCCTTTAATATTGAAAGATGGAAAAACATCTCATTATTTTAATATTGAAAAATGAAAAAACAGAACAGTAAAAAGGATTTTTTCACCCTCTATCTCCTCCTCCTCCGTCAACAAAGAAAAAGTAAAGGAAGATCAGTCTCTTCCACTCCCCCTCCAAATCCACCAACCCCTCTCCATTAACAAAGAAAAAGTAAGGGAGATCACTCTCCTCCACTAACCCTCCAAATCCACCAATCCGAAGGGGCTAAAATCCCCACAAATCAAGTACGTTCCCTGCAATCGGCCGCGGCTGATTGTTCTCTTCCTGTTTCACCTCCTTCTTGGTAATATTCAAAATTTACAGTCATGTCTTCTCTGCGCTTTCCAAGACCCAATCATGGTTTTCTTTCTCTCTCTAATCAACCCTAAACGATTCTCTGTTTCTTCTTCTGTTTTTCTATTATTTCTCCCCTTTCTTTCACCGTCCCTGCTTCCCATGGCTGAAGCAGAAACCTCGCCAGTACCCTTTTCAAGCAATCATGATTCGGGTCCAGTCGTGCCCGTAAAACCCTTAGTTAGCTTTCTTGAATGTGTCCAAGAAACTGCGTTCCAGACCTATGGAAGCTCACACTTTGATCCCAAACTCTACGTGGATTTATCGTTGAGGTTCAGTCTGTCAAAGACTATGCATGCCTTTGATAAGCTGCTCGAGACCGGGAACGGGTCGGTATCCGTTAAGGATTTGGATGAGTTCATAGAGAAATACTTCGAAGGTGCAGGGCATGATCTCGTTTATGCTGAGCCAGTGGATTTTGTCCCTGAGCCTCAAGGATTCTTGCCGAAGGTGGAGAACCCTCAGGTCAGGGCTTGGGCACTTGAGGTGCATGCTTTGTGGAAAAATTTGAGCAGGAAAGTCTCGGATTCGGTCCAAAAGCAACCTGAATTCCATACTTTGCTTCCCTTGCCGGGCTCGGTTATCATTCCGGGTTCAAGGTTTAGGGAGGTCTATTATTGGGATTCTTATTGGGTTATAAGGTTGGTCTTAATTTTCTTTAATTTTGGTTTGATCATAGCATTTTTGATGAATCAATGATTGGGGTGATTGTTTCCGGAAATTAAGGTTTGATATGGCATTTGATTCCCTCTAATTAATGCCTAAGAATTTAATGGTGGTACTCCTAATGTTCAATTAGGAAACTTTTTCTTATGTGGTTTGAGAGAACAAGTTGCAATACTAACTTTGTTCTTTTTTCTCTTATATTTAAGAATATTAACTTTGTCAAATTTCTAAATAAAGATGTTAATTTTTAACTTTTTTTTTTTTAATGTAAGGATGTTAACATTAAGTAAAAAAAGTTGAAAGTTTGAATCCTTAAATAGAAAAACGTATAAAGTTGATATCCTTATTTGCATCTTTTCACTATGGTTTGATATTGGAGTTCACTTAAAGTTGAACTTCATCTAATGTTAAACTAAATGTCATAGTGATATCGTTCTTATAATGTGTACATAATATTAATTTCTTGGTTTCAAAATAGAATCAAAGAGCATATGGAGAATTTACGCTAGGAGCTAATATTGATATGCGTATGCAGGGGCTTGCTGGCAAGTAAAATGTATAAGACTGCAAAAGCAATTGTGACAAATCTTGTTTCCTTTATAGATGCATATGGTTATGTACTTAATGGTGCAAGAGCCTATTACACTAATCGGAGGTAATGCTTTCTTCCTTCCTCAGATGCTTTATTAGGTTGTGTTGCTAATTGCATACTTTAATTGAAACAGTCTAACTTGTCCAGCTTGAATTGATAATGGCGGTATTTGCTCTATTCATCATTGAACATTTGAGACACATTTTTTTTTTTTTTAATAAATCATCCCTAAAAATGCTTTGCTGCCTTAAACTTTTGCTTTCCAGTGTTGCTTGCCTCTAAGCCGCTATTGAATTTCCTCATAAAGACAGACGTTTATGACTGTAAATTTTGATTTCCTCTATCTATCAACACCTTTCCAAACATAGGTTACAAAATTATTTTGCATTCTCACTCCAATATTGTGCAGGTGTCAAAAAGTAGACTGTTTCTCCCAACTTTTTGTATTAAATATGAACCAACTTGCTTCTAATTGAAGGGGACTATGTAACAAATGGATATACTTTCTATTAGCTCTGCCCTTTCACTTTCCAGATGCAACTGGTGCAGTGTTGTGAAGATACTGTGAAATACCAGTTATGTTTCAACAATGTGCCTTCATTTAGCTCAGTGAATTTATAATCCTGCTTTGTGAGGATAGTCTTCTTGAAAGTTTATGATAATATGTTTTGCAGATATCACGTTATCTCAATATTTTGAACCTGAATAGTGTTCTTTTTTGTCTGAGTTGTTTACATAACATGTGAACCTATAAGCTTTCAAGAACTTTCTTGCAGCCAGCCTCCCCTCCTGAGTGCAATGGTTTTTGAAATATACAACCAAACAGGGGATGTTGAACTGATCAAAACATGTCTTTCTGCATTGCTTAAAGAATATAAATTTTGGAATTCAGGTGCAATGAAAACTTTAAACTTACATGAATACTTTCCTGACTGTTCTAACTTAAACAGAACAATCTAGTTTTGACTTCTTCTTGAGTAAACTTTCTCTGGGCTTGAGCTTTTTTTTACGTCATAAAATCTAGGAATACATGAGGTGTCCATCCATGATGCTCAACAAAACAAATACAGTTTGAGTCGGTATTATGCAATGTGGAACAAACCCAGGCCTGAATCTTCGACCATTGTATGTTCTTCTCTTCTTATGTTAGCAAAATTTCCATGTTTTAACCAGTTATGTTGTGTGATCTGCATTTTAAACTTTGTTTTATTCTTTGTACTACCAGGACAAACAATCTTCTTCCAAGTTCTTGAATGCTTCTGAGAAACAGCAATTTTACCGTGAGTTGGCTTCAGCTGCTGAATCTGGATGGGATTTCGGCACAAGGTGGATGAGGTAATACTTTTCAAGGGTTACTTATCTGCCTAAGCAATCTCTTTATTTTAGTCTCCTTGTGACTACCCTTTTCATATGGCTCTGGGTACTGATAATTCACTTTAAGAACCCTTATTACTGCAACATTTGTGAAATTAGTTTTTAATTGGTAAAAGACAATAATCTTGGTAAGTTTGCCTAATCTGTACTGTCATTGGTCTGTCTTTTAAGAATGATCAAGGAAATTAATAATGCTTGTTAGGAACCTGCAAGCAAAGATTCCAGTTATTGGTAGTTTTCTCTTTCAAAATGACAAAAAGATCAAATTAGCTTGCTGATTCATCTCTAAGCTAGGTCCATTAGCAGATAGACAAAATATATTTTCTTATGTGATTCAGTTATCAGAAATAAGTAATATTTTCTTCAACTGCCCAACGTTTTTTGAGCTTAGGGCTGATTCAAATTTAGTTAGAATGTTTACAAATTAAATGATGAAATTTATGGTTAGTTTTCTTGTCTGCAGGGATACTTCTGAATTTACAACATTGGCCACAACTTCAGTTTTACCTGTTGATTTAAATGTATTCATACTCAAGGTATGTTAGATATTGGTCCCAAGATCAGTTGTTCATGGACTTACCTTGACAATCAATATTGCATATGTCAATCCAGATGGAGCTTGACATTTCCTTCTTGGCAAGAGAAATTGGAGCGGATGGTATTGCTGAGAATTTCTTAAAAGCATCTCAAGCTAGACAAAGGGCAATAAACTCTGTTTTTTGGAATGAAAAGATGGGACAATGGCTAGATTATTGGCTCAGTAATGGCACCACTTGCAAGGTGGTGAGTCTATTGTCCCGTTCAAGAGTTTGAATACTGGGAGATATCTATGTTTATCGATTTCCTTATTTTTTTTTTTTTCATTGGTGCTTTTAGGAATCTCAGACTTGGGAAGCTCAAAATCAGAATCAGAATGTATTTGCTTCAAACTTTGTCCCTTTGTGGATTGATTTGTTCAATTCAGGTCTGTAGCTCTTGAAGCCTGAAATATCTCCACTTTGAACCTTGGTGTAGTGTTGGTCAAAAAAGCGAAAAAAAACCTTGGTATAGTAAACCTTTAAACACAATGACCAGCTGTCTAAACTAAACACAACTTAATCAGGTTTAGTTTTATCCTATAGTTGAACCTTTTTAATGTAGACTAGAAGCCAAACTGAACTTAGTGATCCTAATTTAAGCCTAGCATATGTTCATAAGATTTTGGTCTTGTTTCCAAAGGTAGTTTCCATTTCATGTTCTCCAATTAGGATTATGGCCTATCTGGGGGGTTGGTAAAAATGAGAAATTCCCTAAAGAATTTCCTCCAAACTCAAAGAACTAGTAACACATTGGATTTAGGTCCTATTTCCATTATCAGGAGTCGTAGATATTCCCTAGGCCTGGGTCCTCTTGCAAGTGTCCCAGAAAAAAGGTGAGCATTGCTTGGTTGTACCGTTCTTACCCTTTCTCTTTCAATATATCATTCACAAACTATCCAATTAATAACAGAAGGAAAACAGAATTTCAGAGATTTCTTAAGTTGGAAAATGAGCAAATGTAATTTTCTATTTTCGGAAGACCAATCCAAAAAGATAGTACAACCAAGTACAGAAAGGCTGCTATTGCCTTTAAAACAGGATGATGGTGATCTTAGACAGTATGGATGCCTATTGAAACTTATCACAGATATTCTGTCTCTTTTATTATTTATTTACTTGTTTCTATAAATGAAATGGTTTTTCCTCCATCATGGGCTGCTATTTTAACAAATTTGTTCTATGCTTTGTAAGTTGATTGCCATTGAGAATTGTTTTTATATGTACATATGTGAAGATACTCCTCTGGTGGAAAAAGTAATGAGAAGTCTCCAAACGTCAGGCCTGGTCTGTGCTGCCGGAATAGCAACTTCTTTGACAAACTCAGGACAACAATGGTCAGTGAAGTGTTTAAAACTCATATTTAAAGGATTTTTCTTCTGTAGAAAATTTTGAGATTTATAGCATTGGTGGAATAGTTTTCCTTCCTCCTATTTCCCTTTTTCTATTCTTTTGTGGACAAGCAGTTGAGGCAGTGTTACTTGGATTGTTTATTATCCTCCCTTTTAACTGATTGCTTATTTTGAATTTGTAAAAACAGGGACTTCCCAAATGGTTGGGCTCCACTTCAACACATGATAGTTGAAGGTTTGGCCAGATCTAAATTAATAGAAGCTAGATCAATGGCAAAAGAGATTGCTGAGAGGTGGATCAGAACCAACTATGTTGCCTACAAGAAGACAGGTGCAATGCATGAGAAATATGATGTTGAAAAATGTGGTGAATCTGGAGGTGGTGGTGAATATGTGGTCCAGGTAGGAACTGCATTTCATTGGTTATTCTATTGGATTGATTGAGCACATCCTTTCAAATAATGAACCTAAGACGTAAATGGGAAATATATCTAACAAGCTTTAAAGAGTTGAAATAGATTATGAAAAATTTCCGTAGTATTTTGCAGATTTCAGTGGTGTTATCAACTCTACACTGTAAATGGCATGTTGTTTTGCCCCTACTGATTGAAATTTGGTTTTTGGTATGTTGCAATGCAGACTGGATTTGGTTGGTCTAATGGAGTTGTATTGGCATTCTTGGAAGAGTTTGGATGGCCCCGAGACCAAAGTATAGATTGCATTAGCTAATTAGACTCTGCTGATTATAAATTTTAATAACAAAACCGTTCAAATAATTACTACTTATGGGTTTTGTTGCCTTCCAGGGCCTATTTTCTCTATAAACTAAATACAGCATTTGTTTTTTTTCCCTCCCCTTTTTCTCAGGATAATTACCTGTAAGTTGACGGGTTGACGTATTTTCTTTTCTTTTTCTTTTCAGTAGTTTTATTTTCTTAATGTTTGTTTTTAATCGTTTTGATTTTAAACTCCAGTAATCTTAACTTAATAAATTTATTTTCCACTCATGTCTCCAATCTTTTGGACTTTCCACCCTCCCTTTAATAACCCAATCTAAAATCATAATCTCCGGCCACATCACTTGCTTCCAGATTTTATATATATATATATATATGTGTGTGTGTGTGTGTTAATTTTTAAATTATTTTAATGAATATAATTA